GAATCTTCATTTAGATTTACCTGCATATTTGGTGCTTTGTTTGCTCTTTATTCCTTTTTTCATCTACCTTCCATCTGGGATCATCTGCCTTGTATGTAGAACATGTCCTTTGGATTTCTTTTTGTGTTGGTCTGCCAATGATGAAGTCTTTTTCTTTCCTCTATCAGAAGGTGTTTTTATTTCACTTTGATTCTTTTTTTTTTTTTAAGGTTTTTTCAAGTAATCTCTACACCCAATGTGGGGCTCAAAGCTACAATCCCGAGATCAAGAGTCTCATGCTCTACCAACTGAACTGGCTAGGCACCCCTTCATTCTCATTGACATAGATTTTAACTGGGTACAGGATTAAATATTGGCAGTTGTTTTCTTGTTGATTATGTTGTTGCTATTGAAGTTAGATGTCAGTCTTACTGTCCTTCCTTTGAAGGTAGTTTGTCTTTTTCCTCTGGCCACTTTTAAGGTTTACTCTTTGTTTTGGTTTGTTTTTGCTTTTGTTTTTTTTGTAGTTGCACCATTTTGTGTCTTGGTGTAGATTCCTTTTTATGTATCCTGCTTGGGATTTGTTGGATTTCTTGAGTTTGTAGATTGGTGTATTTCATTGGCTGTACAGAATGCTTAGCTATTAACCTCTTCAGATATTTCCATTACTTCATTCTCTCCTCTTCCTTTGGGATTCTGATTAAATAGATATTAAACCTTCTTTATCCTCTGTGTTTTATGTTGTCCTTGGTGTTTTTCATCTTTTTTGTCTTTCCATGCTACTTGGTGGATAATTTCTTTTACTCTTTATTTCTCATGATCTATTCTTAAACTGTGAATTGAGTTCTAATCTATCATGTATCTGTCTTTCTTTCTGTTTATTTTTAGTTTAGGAATTGTGCTTCATTCTTTTTCACATCTGCTGTGCTTTTTCTGAGATCCTTCTCCTTTCAGATTTCTTTAAACCTTTGCTTCTTTAAATATAATAAGAATTGTTGATAAGGAATTTGTAACTGATAATTCTAAGATTTAAAGTCTCAGATCTCTGTGTCATCTTGTGGCTCATGGTTTCTTAGTTTTTGTTCGTTTGGTTGTATTTAACTTTGTGCAGCCTAGTAGCCTAGTGCATCAATAGGAATAATTTGAGGCCCCAGCTGAAGGCCTCAGCCATTAGAGAGGATCTGGCTTCAGCCAAAGAAATAGAAAGTTGTATTCTTTCTGCCTTCACTTTTCTGTGGTAATTCCTAATGTCCTTACAACCCACATACTCTACGGAAGATTTTAAAATGTTTTTTCTAGCCTTTTTAGTTTTATTAATGGGAGGGTTAGTATGAATAAACTATCAAGCTATTAAATAAAAATTTCATCGTAGCTCCACTAGGCTTTAATTTAATCCAGCTTTTCCTTTTTTGTTTTAGATCCGCTCAGCTTATTTTGAGTTAGTTTCTGCTTTGTGCCAGCGTATTCCACAGTTGATGAAAGAGGAAGCATCCAAAGTGAGCCCATCTGTTCTACTTAGCATTGATGACAGTGACCCCATTGTGTGCCCAGCTCTCTGGGAAGCTGTACTTTATACACTTACAACTATTGAGGTGTGTAAGAGGGGTACATTCAGTACATCAGGGAATATTTGTCTTCTTAGTTTGTATTTTAGAAGCCTTAGATATGATGTGAGAGAGAGCCTATCAGATTATACTATCTAAAACTTACTGGAAAAAAATATTTTCTTAGAAATAAAATACTTAATCCAAAACTTGGTATAAATCTTAAACTGACTATAAAATAGCATAGAGTTTTTATTGTACTTTTAGTTTAGCCGTATCAATTATTCTTTAAACCTTATGTGGTCCAGTGAAGTCAGTATATCTGAATCTTTTATTTAAGATTGAATATTGCTGTCCCTTTTACAAAGCAGCTTTTATAGAAGTCTTTTAAGGTAATTATTTCTGATCAATTATGTGTGAAGCACGTGGGGTGTATGATTACTATATGTAATAAATTTATTAAAGTTTCTGAGTTTTAGTTTAAATTTAGTTTTAGTGATGAGAGATTTTAACCTCTCTAGGTAGAATGCCTGATTACTACTTTTGAGAGCTTATATGTCTCTTAATTGGGAAAAGTATTTTATGATCTCTAATTGTTATTATAATCTTTCCTTTGTTAGGACTGTTGGCTTCATGTAAATGCAAAAAAAAGTGTGTTTCCGAAGCTGTCAGCTGTGATCCGTGAAGGTGGTCGGGGTCTGGCTACTGTCATATATCCTTATCTTTTGCCGTTTATCAGCAAACTCCCTCAGACCATTACAGATCCAAAGTTGGATTTCTTCAAAAATTTCCTCACCTCTGTAGTTGCAGGGTAAGGAGTTTAAATTTCTTGATTGCAAGAGATTTTTCTTGTTTGCATATATGGGTAGGATGACATACTCAACATTGTCTTATTTAAATTTCTCCAAATTGTTTTGCTGTTCATTAAGCACTTTTAAAGTTTTCAGAGAATTACAATTGGAATCCTTTTCTTGGGTACTTTCAAGGCTTCAGTTGTAATACACAATAGAAAGTGCAATGAATATTGTAAGGCCTTAGATGGAAATAGACCATTTTTCAAATGTTATTTTTTGGTATGTTGATAAATACAAATGCCCAAATGGAAAAAATGAACCACTGAAGAGTTTGTAACTTCCATAAACTTAAATATGATAGCTGTTTTTAAAGTCATAATTTAAAAAAATCATTTCTTAGTGTAATTGTTGAACTTAGTAAAAGATACTGTTTTATTAATGATTACAAAATTATTTTTTACTACATCATTATCTTTATTTAAGTCCTCTCTTTAAAATTTCAGATGGATTTGTTCCTGAATAGAAAATAGATATGTATTCTCTTTTGTTGACGTATTTGAAAATATGCTTTTTTCATACTTCTTCAGGTTCCTATTGTTCTTAGTTTTTAGTTTAAGAATTTTACTGTAAAAAATTCTTTTCTTTTGGTATGATGCCTTATCCATGTCTTTATTTAGGTGTTTCTGAGTTGCTTACTTTCTTTTTTGTGAAAGAGTAAGCCATAGTTATTTATTATTTCTTAGGCTATCAACAGAAAGAATAAAAACCAGCTTTTCAGAGTGCTCAGCAGTAATATCAGCTTTTTTTGAATGCTTACGTTTTATAATGCAGCAAAACTTAGGTGAGGAAGAAATTGAAGAGATGCTCGTCAATGACCAGGTACTTATAATGTAAAAATCATCAGTGCCTTTGCACATTGACTATAAAGAATCAAGCCCATTGCATCTTGTTGCCATTTTTATTAATTAGCCTTCATATAGATTTCATTTTTTATTATTTACAAATTGAGTAATGTGTATTGCTGACCAACTAAATAAAAATTCTGTATTGTTTGTTGCCAGAATAATACCATAATTCTTGAGTACTAATTAGTCTCTGGATGTGCAAACCCTGTTTATTGTAGAGTTGTAACACAAAACATAATTTCAAAGTTGCTATTTGTGGTCTTTTATATTAAGTGTAAATTATGCAATAATTTGTTACTTCTAAAATATTTAACAACATTTATCCTTTTGTGAACAATTGTGCTTGGCTTTTAGAGCCAGTGATGAGAGCAAGTTCTGGAATATGGTTCCTTATGTTAGGAAATTAAAGAAATTATATAAGCGTAGATCCTGGTTCATGTCTCAGTTAACTTCTCTTTGTAATTTAAGAAAAAGTTCTGAAATCAATCTTTCATATTGATTTAGAAAAAAGTAAAAAACTTGAATAAGTTCAGAAAATGCAAAGAAAACTATATTGTTAATGACCAATAATCTTGATTAATTATATCATAAAAAGTAATTTAGGGGGAATGCAGCGAAATCGTTAACCTCTTTGTATGATATGAAAATGATCTTCAAGTTAACCCTTCAGAGTTTTGAGGGGGAAAAATCAATGTTTTTCAGTTATTAAATATGGAATTTTATAATGTTTTACAAATACCTTGTTTCTTTTTTTTTTAATTTTGAGAGAGAGCAAGCAAGCAAGTGGGAGGAGGGGCAGAGGGAGAGGTATAGAGAGAATCTTAGGCTGGCTCCATGCCCAGCTCGGAGCCTGACTCAGGGCTTGATCTCATGCTTAAGGACTGAGCCACCCAGGCACCCCCCCGCCCTTGTTTATTTCATTTTACTTATTTTTTTTTTACAAATACCTTGTTTAAATTTTATTGCTCCTGAGAACTGAACTTTTCTATTTCTATCTTCTCTTTTAGTTGATTCCTTTCATTGATGCAGTTCTCAAAGACCCAAGATTGCAAGATGGGCAGCTGTTTAACCATTTAGCAGAAACTTTAAGTTCCTGGGAAACCAAAGCAAATGTGGAGAAAGATGATAAAACAGCTCACAGTTTGGACAAAGTGCTACTGAATTTTTGGGAAAGACTCTCAGAGATCTGTGTGGAGAAAATCAATGAGCCAGAAGCTGATGTGAAATCCGTGTCAGGTGTATCTAACCTGCTACAGGTCCTTCAGAAGCCAAAGAGCTCGCTGAAGTCAAATAAAAAAAAAGTTGGTAAGGTTAGATTTACTGATGAGCTACCAGAAAGTAATAAAGAGAATGAAAAATGTGTCTCCTCAGAAGGCGAGAACAGTGAAGGCTCTGAATTAATGACTGAACCTTCTCTCACTCATAATTGTTCAGACCTTATATCGCCGCTAAGGAAGAAACCTTTGGAAGACTTGGTCTGTAAACTAGCAATGATGAGTTTTAATTATGTCAATGAGCAAAAGTCGGAGCAACATCTAAGGTTCCTTTCTACTCTGCTTAGCTCTTTCTCTTCAACCCAGGTATTTAAAATGCTGTTAGGTGATGAAAAATGGAGTATTGTCAAAGCTAAACCTCTTGAAATAGCCAGACTTGCACAAAAAAATCCTGCAGTGCGGTTTTTATACCAGAAACTGATTGGTTGGCTAAATGAAGATCCAAGGAAGGAAGCTGGTTTCTTGGTGGACATTTTGTACAGTGCCCTCCATTGCTGTGACAATAATATGGAAAGAAAATATGTCTTGGATGATCTCATCGAGGTATTGTTGTTGTGTATCTCTTTAAACTATAATGGTTTACATTGCCACGCTAATTATTGATAAGTAGAATGAGACTTGCATGGAGGTTATTCTTGGGTGGTTTCTTGGCTGTGAATATCTGTTTAAAGAAGAGCAATATATTCTTTCCAGTTTTAGTATATGTGCTGCCAAAGCCACAAGCAATATATTCTTGATTGTGATGGGGAGGTGTATAAGACTTACGGGTATGTGTTCAGTAAGTATGGTAAGATGACAAATGCTTGGTAATAAAAGGCAAAGTTTTTTAGTCTATACTTTTTAAAGTTGGAGTAGCTAAAAAAGTTTTAGTTTTGTAGTGATTACATAGTGACTTCATTCCTTCTAGCAGATTATTTCTAACTCTTTTTCCTCTTTTAGGGGGATCTGAAATGGAATTCTATTCTTCAGGTCATTGAAAAGGTATCTTAGGGATTTTTTTTTTCTTTTTCATATTTGTGGGTATAGAAAAATTGAAACCAATCCTATTCACATGCTGGTATGTGGTCAGGTGTCTATGTTAGAGAACTTCCTTCTTCCCGTAACTTTCTTCCCATAATTGGGAAAGCTTTTGTTGTTTGCCTTTCTGTAGTATTATTTTTCTGGTTAGGAATATCAGCAAAGAGGGACTAGGCTCTGGAAAATCCAGTGTTTCTCCCCTAGCAGATAATAAAGGGAGAGTTAAACATTTGATGACCTTTAAATTAAGACTACAGGTTTCTACCCTTGTCCTAGTGACCTTTCCTTCTATAGAAATGGATTAAGTGGTTTTAGCTTTGGCTAGAACACTTCAAAAAATTAAGTTTGTCCTACTCTGGAATACTATACAGGCAAATTAAGATCTTCCAGGCTTTGTCTGATTGCCACTTGACTAAATAAGAAAATTAGTGATAGAAATAATGAAAAGAAATCAAGGAAACTAAGCAATTTAGAAGTTTTAAAAATGGCTTAAGTGTTTTATCCTAATAAAAATGTAAATGATGCAATACTTTTCAACCATAGAAATGTTTAGACTAGTTACCTAAAATTTTTTTTTATTTTAGCATTTTTTACTATTTTTAAATTTTACACAGATAACTTTTTAATTTACAAGGGTTTTTTTTGTATCTTTATTTTAAATTATGGTAAAAGCCCCATAACAAAATTTGCCATCTTAACTATTTCTGAGTTTACAGTTCAGTAGTGTTAAGGATATTCATAGTATTGTGAACCAGTCTCCAGAATTTATCTTGGAAAACTGAAACTGTATGCCCATTAAATAGTAACTCCCTATTTCCCCTAATAGTTTCTTTTTACAGAATAAATACAGAATATTAATTTACTGTTTTTCAGTGAGAAATATAATGTGTCAACATTTCATTAGTTTATCCACTACCTTCTCTTTCTATAGGCAGGGTACATGAAAAGCCAAATTATCAGAAAGCTACTTGGTAAGTCTAGAATCAGAGCAAAAGGAGTTAATAATTTGATAAGAGAAGACTAATACCCATTTTCAACTTAGGAATGTACTTGCCAGGGAGCTCAAATACTCATATCCATTTGGAAGACTATCCTCTTCCTGGGTAGAGTTTAGAAGTTATGGGTAGTGTTTGCCTCCTATACTTCCATGACTAATGGGTCTCTTCACCCCCCCTTAAAGCTGGTCAGGTTCTTTCTGTAGATTGGTTAAAACATTAAGTATTGTACTGCATGTCTTGCTAACTTGAGAGACATTTAGAAGTTTATATCCTGGATTCTTTAAAATAGATCAGTTTTATTTAGTAAACTATTAGGAAAGCCAATATTATAGCTATATAGACTCTAGTTTTTCTTGTTTCTAGGCAACTTTATACTTTATGATCAGTTATAAAGTCAGCTTCTTTAAAAACAAACCTGAATTTTGTAACCAGAAAGGGACTTTTGAGATTTTCTAGGTTAATCTTCATTTCTAAAATGAGGAAAGAGGCCCAGGTTGGTTAAGAGATTTCTCCAAGGTCATAAAGCCAGATTAGTGGTAAAGCTTGGGCTAAAATAAAAGTCCTGGTTACCTACAGTTTCTTAAATAAGAGGATAAACAGTTTTTTAGGCACCACCCAATCTGCACTTGGATTTTTTTTTTTTTCCAGATTGCTTTGAAATGAACCAAGTTGCAAATTCCTTTCTTGTCAGCCCTAAAGCAAAAGAAGCTCTGGAAACATGGATCAGCATGCTTTTGGGGGTGGATTTGCAGTTTTTTTTTCCTTGCTTCCCCACTCCATGAAAATAAACCAGTTGCTGTTAGATATCTGGCCTCAGTTATTATTGCAGAAAATTAGGGGAAATAATAAGGCCCATTGTTCATATTGAAGTAACTTACAACTACTAAATAATGGTTGTTCCTTAATTTTAGTAAAATTAATGAACAAAAATTTAAAATATAGAGCATTTTAAAATGTCTTCAAAGTTCATCCATTCATTATTCATTGAACATATCTGCAGTGTTGATAGCAGGTATCAAAGAAGTTTAAGACAGTCTCTACTCTCAAGGAACTTACAATCCCATTGGAAACAAGACATACACAGATGAAACATTATAAATAATAATACAATCCAGTAAGTGCTTTAGAAATTCAGAGAAAAGCAGTGATGAGTATGGACTGGAGTGGATGGGGGAGATTTCGTAAAGCAGGTGGGCTTTGTAACAATTCTGAGAGAATGGATGGGATTTTGATAAGTAAAGAAGAGGGGAAGTATTTGTGGTTGGGAAGATAGCATGAGTAAAGCATGAAAGTGTACATAAGCAAGGCTTAGTGGGGAACAGGACAATACCAGCCTTCTGAGAACTTGAGGAGGAGTGGGAGTAGTGTTGGGGCCATGATGATGAAGGGAGGTAATATGGTCCAAGTAATATTTTAGGTAGATAAACTTTTTCATCTTCTAATCTTTGCTTTGATTTTATGGTTTTAGGCATGTTCTAGTTCAGATAAACATGCTTTAGTAACTCCTTGGCTAAAAGGAGAAATCGTTGGAGAGAAATTGGTAACCTTGGCAGATCATCTTTGTAATAAGGACTTGGAATCCTCAGTATCTTCTGAATCTTACTTCTCAGAAAGATGGGCTCTTCTAAGCTTGGTATTATCCCAACACATTAAAAATGGTAGGCAAAAATACGGCTTTTGTTTTTTAGTAGGGAATAAATCTTTCGCTTTTGGGGGGATTCCATATTGCAAAGTTTGCATGTAATTGATTAAGAATAACAAGACTTCATTAAGATATTTTAATCTTATAAGCACCCTAAATGTCTATTAATCTTTTTAGCATAACTTGGAAGACATTGTAATATTTTTAGTTTTATATTCTAAAGGGTTTTGAATAGCAAAGCTCTTCACTAATTTGTAGAGCATTGCTTTTTTTTACTTTAAAATTGTTTTTTTACGTTAGGGCTTTTATGTGCGAGAGATCAGATCGATTTATTGATATAATTTTCTTTTGTCTACTACATTTTTTTTTAATACACAGAAAGATTTAAGTGGTTGTTAACCCAAAGTAAGGTATTAAAAAACACACTTAATATTTTTAAAATTTTTTGTCTCTGTGAACTTTTTTTCTCTAGATTACTTGATTGGAGAAGTATATGTTGAAAGAATTATTGTTAAACTTCATGAAACTTTATCCAAAGCAAAGGAATTGTCAGAAGCTGAAAATAATGACTCATCAGTGTCTTTTATCTGTGATGTGGCCTATAACTATTTCAGCTCAGCAAAAGGATGTTTGCTAATGCCATCATCTGAAGACTTATTATTAACTCTCTTTCAGTTATGTGCTCAGAGCAAAGAAAAAACACATTTGCCAGGTAATAGCTTACTGCTCAAATGTTTTGTTGGGAATCTCCGGCTCTGACCTTCATAGTGTAAATGCCCAGGCTTTATTAATTGAATCATAATGTACTTGAAAGTTGAAGGCATTTTGAGTAAAGGGCTACAAATCTTAAACACTTTCAGCTTTAGAAACCAGGTTAAAGATGTCTGTAGACATTATGTCTAAATTCTTTCTTGATACCAAAGACACAGTTTTAGAAGGGGCCATGATAGATGAGTTGGAATCTTAACCCCTTCACTCAGTGGCTGTGGTTTGGCAAGTTGCTTAATTTCTTGATGCCTCAATCTCCACATTCATTAAGGGGGGTGTATTAATATCTCCCTTCTCTTCCTCACTGTTGGTATATATCAAAATGAAATTGAGATTGCCTTTTTAAGGACTATATTGCCTTATGTGTTAATTGAGACTTAATTATGAAAGGAATGTAAAAAAATACTAGTATTGATACCTTTCCTCCCAAACCCTTTCTTTTATACTAACTTCTCTATTTGGAAAAGGTATAATATTTTTCACATCTCCAAAAGGACAGTGCTCTTATAAATAAGTTCAGAGCAGAAGAAAGCTAACTTTAAAAATCTTAACATGTTTGTATTTACATGGCATGAGCTAGCTTGTATTGTGGCACATTTATGACGATTGTTTTACTTCGGCAAAATTTTATGTTCTCCTTTTTTAGCAGTATCTTAAAAATCTCAAGTCTACATTGAATTATTTCAGACATTTTGTACTGATTATAGTTGCTTCATAGGGATTACAAATTACTGTTGACATCTTGATTTTAGACTTTCTTATCTGTAAACTGAAAAATACTTGGCTCTGTGGTGTGAATTTATTGATCCACCAAACTGGCAATACATATAAACAGAGTACCTTCCTATGTTTGTCTGCTCTGTGGCTGAAGAACCAAGTTCAGTCTTCATCTTTGGATATCAAAAGGTAACGTTTTTTATGCTCATTTGCTCTCTCTTTAATACCTGATCACTGTCTTTAAATAAGAGCCCATGATTAGTGTGAATGACTATGAAAAATGATTTGTTATATAAGAAATCTATAGGACTCTAAGAGAAGATCCAGACAAAAAGATTTTTCCAGAAGGAATTTGTTTTAATGATCATTCATTTAAATTCCATTAAATGAAGAGTGATTTGTCTTAGCATATCTGCTGGACTCCTAATTTATGCTCAGTGATGTGATGGTGGTGCCATCCTGTGTCTTGTGGGCTGGTGTGGATTATAACCATGACCCCTCATGGCCACCACACATAGTGACTGTTCTTCATTGTTTATTTTGGGGGGCCAGGTAGCCACTGTTTAAAGGTGTTGAATTGCAAATATATTTCACACCTCATGCCTAAATCCATATGTAAAAGTGAAAACCAAGAGAATGCATCCAGAGGCTGTTAGGGTTGGGTCATATATTTTGCTGAACGTCATGGTTTTTTTCATACAATAAGGTAGCTGTATTTCAGAAATATCTGATATGAAATAAGTCAAGTTCCATTCATTCTGAGATAGAAACAGCACTCAATTGAGCAGCACTCAATTTCAGATCATAAATGTTGGATTAAATCCACAATTTGGCTATGTGTATTTTGGATATAGAGTAGAGGAGTTGCTTAGCTTCATTTTTACTAGTCTTTTTGTTCAGGTAAACTGTTAACCTGCCACAGGGTATTTAATGTGTACCAGGGTGTTAAGTTAGTCATAGCATAACTGTAACACTTATGTGTTTTGCATTATTTTCAGTCTTCAAGTCCTCTTGTCTGCTGTTGATGACTTGCTAAATACGCTTCTAGAAAGTGAAGATGCTAATCTTCTGGGAGTGTATATTGGAAGTGTAATGCCAAGCAACAGTGAATGGGAAAAGATGAGACAGTCTCTTCCTATGCAGGTATGTTTGAGATTGGATAGTGCTTATCTTATTTTGAACTTTGGACTTCGTGCAAGCTTAAACATTTTTATTTTATTCTGGGGAAGGAAAAAGTAAACAAAATGACTATCTTTTGTTTTTTTCTGGGGAGAAAAAAAGGTAAATGAAATGAGTATATTGCTTTGCCTTTACGTCTCTGAATGCTCATATATTGTATGTTTGTTGTTTGTAAGACAGTGGCAGTTGCCATGGTACAAGGTGAATTAGACCTAGTTTTGTCCTGAAGGAGTCTTAAATACACATGTTGATAATTTCTTGAAGTAAAACCCAAACTTCTAGGCTTCTGTGATTTTACTAATAAACTAGTAATAACTTCATTTTTGAAGTTATCCTAATAACATTTTGAAGATACTCTAATAATTTCATTTTTGTTCCCTGTCTTAACTGTATAGGTAGTAAATAATTTAGAATATCTAATGATTTTGTATATAATTTAATGTATTCTTTTTACAGTGGTTGCATAGACCTCTTTTAGAAGGAAGATTGAGTTTGAATTATGAGTGTTTCAAAACAGATTTTAAAGAACAAGATACAAAGAAACTTCCCAGCCATTTGTGTACTTCAGCCTTATTGAGCAAAATGATATTAGTTGCACTGAAAAAGGAAATAGTCCTAGAAAATAATGAGCTTGAGAAAATAAGTAAGTATATATGAGCATTCAGATATAATAGAAATGTTTTGAAATAATTATAATTTTGAAAGAATTTTGATTAACCTGCAATTTAGATAAGAATCTTCCATTCCTATTAGCTGTTTTAGTGATGAGAAACTTGAGGTTACTTGAGTGATGAATGGTAAATTGCAAATTGGATGGAAACATACTGAAAACTTGCTATAATCTTATTAGCAATAGAGCAGAATTTGGTATAAGATCAGTTACTTAAGCTGGCAAGACATTGATACAGGTAGATCCTATGGCATATATCCTTAAAGAAAATGGTTAAGTGAGTCTAACATTTCATCAAGGATTCTGAATTCTCAGTTTTTGAACCACTATACCTTTGTGTTCATAGGGATGTATGTACACACACACACACACTTTTTTCTTGGCAAGTAGAGGTTCAAACAAAAAAATCCCCCATTCCAGGAAATGGTGTAGAATTGTAGGAAGCAGTGTGACCTTTATAAAATGGTATTAAAGGTACAGAGGATTTGCATAATTTCTCTGTCAGTCTTGTTTGTAAGCCTTCAGCTGTAGCATAGTTAGTAGTAGAAGAGAACATATGCCCTGGGGAAGAAAGCTGGAACACCTCTTCTGACTAGCAGCTCCACAGGCAGTTAAGGGCAAGGAGATTAGTCTGCAGTTTATATTGCCCACAGAGTGAATCTGTCCAAAAACAAAACTGGAAATTGGAGTAATGATCTTTGTAATATTTGTTTTTGTTAATTGTGTTACTAATTACAAACTGACAACATTATGTATTTAATCTTTTTATCAACCCTATCAGATATTATTATTGTTTTCCTCACCTTGTTGTTTTCTTATCTTGACTTGATTAGAGTTACTTAGCTTGGAAGGGATAGGATTAGATTTTGAACCAGGTCTCAGGTCTTCTGACTCCAAAATCCATACATGGCTTTATAAGAGAGTGTTGTGACTAATTATTAAAATCTCCTATGATGTGCTAGGTACTGGTCCTTGAATTCTCACAGCTCTCCCTGAAGCAGATTTTTATACTCTAATTGATAACTGTATGTACAGCTCATCTGAATCCAGACCAGTCTGTCACTGAGGTCCACGCCCTGTTTACTATATCATGGTATTTCCCATTCCTTAACATTGGCTTGAACTTCTCATTTCAGGTGTTGGGTCCATTAGTTGTTTGTCCTGTAAGTAACTTGTTACCACTTGAGGCAAAAATAGTAGGAAGATTCTTCCAGTATTTCTGATAACTTAGGCTAGTCGCATTCTTCACTAATCAGAAAAGGAACCAAGTAAGATTTGGGAGAAGAGTCTCATTTTGTATCAAATGTTCTCAGGTTTCATTATCATGGAACATCTCAAAGCAGATTTGAAAATCAGTTCATAGATATTTTGAGACTGGTGGGCATAGCAGTATTAGAAAATGGGGCAGAGAAGTGAAAGTGATCGAAGGCCTCTTCACAGAATACACTTGATGATGTGTCGTCCATTCTATAGTTGCAGAACTGCTCTATTCACTGCAGTGGTATGAGGAATTAGACAATCCACCTATTTTCCTAACTGGATTTTGTGAAATGCTTCAAAAGATGAATATTACATATGATAACTTATGTGGACTTGGTAATACTTCTGGCCTTTTACAGCTGTTATTTAACAGGTAAGAATCCCTTTTAACATCCATTTTTATATGATTATTTTACTCATTTTTGGCTTTGTTTCTGTAAAATGTGAGCTCACGTTATGCTAATCTTTCAGTCAGAGGGTTGGTCTAAATTAAACCCAATTCTTTTTCTTTTTTTTTTAATATGTATTATTTGAGACAGAGTGAGAAAGCACAAGCACGGGGAGGGGCAGAGGGAGAGGGAGAAGCAGACTCTCCACTGAGCGGAAAGCCTGATTCCAGGATGGATCCCAGGACTCTGGGATGGATCCCAGGATCATGACCAGAGCCCAACGAAGACAGGCGCTTCACTGACTGAGCCACCTAGGTGCCCCTAAATTAAACCCAATTCTTTTTTTTTTTTTTTTAA